ACAATAGACGAGTATAGGCGAGTACTACAATAGACGAGTAGAGACGAGTACAAATACCGCGCGATATTTGTACTCGTCTATGGCGTTATTTGTACTCGTCTAGGTGTAGTTGGATAATGATGTCGAGTATTACCGGCGAATCGAAGTATTTGTCATACAGTGGAATCCCGATTTCTCGAACCCTCGGTTTCTCGAACCTCCCAATATCTCGAACCAAACCTTGTTTCCCTTGGATTTGTTTCACTTTTAATTTCACCCCCGATTTCTCGAACCAGCAAAACAAGCTTGAACAAAAACAGCTTAAACAAGCAGTGTAAGGGTAACTGCAATGTGATAGCGTGACGTGTTGTGCTACAATGGCTTTTCTATTGACGTGTCTTGTTTTGATTGACAGATATTGACGCGCCTCACCGTGACTGCTGGATTTGTTATGACAGTGATCGCACCGATGCTGGTCCTATGATATTACCATGTAATTGCAAAGGAGATGTCGCTGCTGTACACCACGACTGTCTGAAAAGATGGCTTCTTGAGGTAATGAGTTACTGTACCTCTGATAGAGTAGCTGTATGCTTGCTCAAATTAATTTCGTAGATAACTGTGCTTCTGTTTTATTAAGACTATTGTGAACGGCCCGAACCTGTGGCTAAATTCGAGATGGTACGTGTTTGGTGTAATTGTCATAGCTCGGGGTACTCCTAGTCTCGAACGGGGCTTGTGTCGGTGACAGGAAATTACGTTCTGACAACATGACCGGAAGTCATTTCCAGAGCCAAGTGACTTTGACCCGACCTTGATAACTACTTCCGTTTATTTGCTGTCCGCTCTTCAAGATATCCCACATTTGGACGATCACATTTCTACAACAGATGCTTGAAAAACCTTCCTAAAAGTGGATTCAATCCTCTTCCCTTATTCGTTGGTAAAGTAGGATGAGTTGATAGGAGATGAGAGCTTTACCAGTTTGCTTGAAGATCTTTATCAACCTCACATCCTTGAAGGTTTAAGATGCAGCCCCATATTTTGATCTGAATTCCTTATCTTCCAGTCTTGCCAGGANTCATTCATTCATTCATTCATTGAGTCATTCATTCATTCATTCATTGAGTCATTCATTCATTCATTCATTGAGTCAGTCAGTCAGTCAGTACATCAGTCAGTTTGTCTGTTAATTAGTAAGTCAGGCAGTCAATCTGTTAGCCAATCATTTAGTCTGTCTCTCCCTTAGTCAAAGAGTTTCGACCGTCACGTACCTGCTAAATCGATCAAATCAAGCAGCTTACGCCTAATTTGAAACTGTTCAACCAACTCAAGGATCTTGATGTTTTTGCATTTCAGGCTTCTGGGATTTAATATGTTGCTTGTTTATCGCCGAGCCCGTCTCGCTACAATGAGTATCATTGGTGACCCTGTGACTGGTTCTCAGCTGCCTGGGGAGAGCCACACAACTGCAGAGGCTGTAGATATTACCACAGCCTAATCTCAATTAATTCGCAAACGTAGTGCTAAGTGATTAACTGTTTAAAGTCAAACAAACGTGATCACGATCTTCAATTAGAAAGAAGAGGTAAATATTGCAAGGAGCCACTGAGAAGTCAAAGAAAGCGCATCGTAACGGACTCGCGCGGAGAAACGCCCGTTTCCATATAGTGATTGGTTTAAGTTTTGCATCTGACGTGTTAAGAGAATGGAGAGGTCTTGGAACCTAACACGGATCATAGTAAAGCAGTTAAACCAATATAAACGTGGACTTTTACGACACGAGTCGAAGTCTTTGCAGGATCTCTGCCAGATTCGCGAAATGAGGAAAGTGACGCATTTGTCTGAAACTGTTCTCTCATAAGATATGCCTCTTAGGTGTGTGGAATATGAAGAGTCGAATTCTCTCCCAGAGAGGATAAAAAAATTGATTTCATTTTGTAAATATGCTACCGTGAAAGTCGTAGACAAGGAAGAGTTTATCTGTAAATAACGTTCTTAATAAGATTCTGCCTGTTTTATGTGTACACTCAAGTGTATATACTCGAGAGTGACCTCGGGTTTTTTTCTTTTTTTTTTAGGAAGTTCGCTTTAGCTTTAATTGACTTCACTCTGTTTTAGTTTCTACAAAGTGTGTACTTCATTGTAACAGTTTTCTTTGAAGATTTACACCCTCCTTTCCTATTGGCACTGAAGGAAAAAATTATTCTTCGTGCTGAAGCATTGAGTGTTGAATTGACCAACATTTTGCCAAAAAAATTATCCTTTTAGATGTCTAAGTTGACTGTGTTACAGCGGCCTTCGTGTGTTTGAGGAGTAAACAAACCATCTAAAGATAATATTGTCAAAATATAACTAATCAATTTAAAGTAGTCTTCAATCGTTTGTACATCACTTAAGTTTCAATAAAGTGAATTTCACTCTGCCCATGTGGCAAGGTTCGTACCTCTAGGAATTAGGCTGCCTTCACACTTGGTGCTCGAGCACGGTACCCGGATACGATTCTTGATGGGCACTAGAACACCAAAATTCGGGCACCCTTCTTGTACAAGGTCTTGACGTTGTGTTGAACCGAACGCAGAGTACACCAAGTGTGAACGCAGCCTTTAGTCATTCTGATAATTATTTCTTCTCAGGTTTTCGAAACCTGAATTATCAAGGGGTTTAAAAGCAGGTTACCGTCGGTCTACTGCATTTTATTGAGCCTGCGAGCATGTCGAGTTTGTGGTTTTCCTTACAGCCCCTGTTCAGACACAGCCTCCTATAACATCATCACCAGCCGTTTTTGGTTAAAAGGGAACGAAGTTGTGAGGTACAGTAACCAACAGTAGGCCTTTTCAAGACACCTCACATGGACGGCTTTAGTAGACGGACTGCGCAATCAACTGTTTGTCCCAGGCTGAAACCATTTGCTGAATATTAATTACAAGTAGAGCAAACTCTGCTGAGACTTTCAGGAGGCACGATACAGCGAGTCAATTTAAATATCTCGTCTCTCTTTAGCCGTGTAAAACCTTAATATAGTGAGTTGTTTTGATGATTGACGATCAGTTTAAATGTTAGTCCAAGGTCGAGACTATTTGCAAAACTAGTTCCTTGTAAAGTGAACTATGTATGGGGCAAGTCAGAATATGAGTGAATTTGTGGCGATTGACCTTATATATATTCCTTGGTGTGACAATTTTGAACTTTATTTTTTATTTAGACACGGTAAATCTATCAGATAAAATAATAATATTACAATCTATTATTACAATTACAATCTACTTTAATCTATATAAACATGATCTAAAATTTAAAAGTGAAATAGAAAAAATAAAAAAAAAATTCTGCTTTACATAGATGCCGTGTGCGTTNATATAAGCTGCTACTAGGAAGAAACAATTTTAAACTGTATTTGACAAAATATCTTTTAAACATGGTTGACGTGTGGTTTGAATGAGGTACTGGATATTCAGGTGGAATCTTCGAAGATCACGGATGAACACTGATAAAAGCCTGTTAATGAAAACTTACTAATGCCAGTTGTCTCTCTGCATTTTTTCTTTTTTTTTTTTTCCTCTAAGTATCTTTCTCTATCTAAGCATCTTGCACATTCCGTTTTAGTTCTGGGGGCTGCTGAAGAACTAGTTCTACCCGTCCGGAAGTCTTAACTTGAACACTGATAAAGACTGTCAAAATTTCTATAAATATATATTGGGTCAAAGTTCGGACTTTTGACGAAGCATTAGCATACGTAAAGTTACCTGTGCGTGGCGAACAGATTGAAATTATGTTCTAGAAATTTCTGCACAGAAAAGCGGCTCAGAGGGTTTGATTTAGAAGTTGGATAAAGCGGTGATTCCACTTATTTTGACAAAGGTAGGTGGTTTGTACACAAGGATAGAGTTAGGAATAGAAGATAAAACAAAGTTACATACAATCGGGAGATAAAATTGTCACGCGATACGGGAGTGCGGTGCACATGCCATCAAAATCTCAGTCCTAGCGCAACGAAAATTAAAAATTCTGTTTTTGTAACCGTGGGAGAGAGAGCCGTGACCGGATCAGGGAGACAATCAAAGAAAATTTTTTGCCTGTACTCGATCGTTAGTGACTGAATTGAAATGTAGTGGTTCAGTCACACACTTTTTACGAACCAATTATCGTTTATAATTGCTACCCTATCCATGCATGCGAGCTTTCGTCCTACGACATAGATAAGAGTTTTAATCTGAAAACCATGAAACTCGCTACAAAAAATATTTAACCTCTTCCCCATCACAGTCAGACACCCTCACCAACCGACAGCCATACTGAATTCTTTCTCAATAACCGGAAATAAGTTATTCAAGCCAACACGAACAATCGGGCTCTCGGTAATGTTTTATTTGAGCACGTATATTTACATCCTCGGTCGTTGCTTGACCAAACATAGGACATATATATACGTCCTTGGAAGGGAAAGGGTTGGCTTCTTGTTTTGCGCGTGACTGTCAATAAGCTGCTCTCAGGTCAGTTGGACAATAACACTTGCGTTCTTCGCTAGTAGAATATTTTAATGGTTGTGTGATGGTATGTCAAAGCTTCGGCCTGAAACTTTGCCAACATAGAGTTATAGCTGTCTTCAACGCGATGAAATAAACTTTAAGACGCGACAATTTGATTTTAAACATTCTGCGAAGACAATCGACACTTTTAACTACCTTTCAACTCAAGTTCACGACATTTAAATCAAAGAAGTGAAAATTGAACTGCAATCAAAAGATGATGAAATGTATGCATTTTATTGCTGTTCTTGTTCACCGAAGCACGGTACGGTCATGAAATCAGTATCATTACTGAGCACAGGTGACAACGTTTAAAAGACTTTCAATAACGACTTTTATTAAATTAATAAAATTTTTATCTTTGCAGAACTTAATCAGAATTCCGATATTTATTTCTTCGAGCTCCTTTCCCCCCGACATCACTAGGCATACTCAGTCCACACTGCTCTCTATACATGTCATGTTGTACTGACCCGGAAAATATGTTTAACAGTCGCAAGCCTCTTCAATTGGCGATCACTTTTTTTGTTCTCGTTTCAGTTTTGACTCAGCAGTGACGCCGTAGGGAAAAATTAGGTACGAGTTACTTCCTAGGGGTTTTAAACAATGAATTAAAGACTGCCTTACAATTGATATGGATGGCGAAATAGTTCATAGGCCACATAAGGAAGGAGGCATTGGGATTTTCGATTTCGCGGTATTCGGTTTCTGTGCCAAAAAACTTCGGTTTTTCGGTTTTGGTGTTTATTGCGGTTTGCGGATTTTCCGTTTTTTAGTATTTGGTTTTCGCTTTTCGTCAAAAATACTAATGGGTTTTCTGATTTAGTATCCGATGAGGTTTTCTTTGATTCATATTTGGGTTACGTTTTCTCTTCAATCTGAGAAGCAGTTTATGATGCACCTCCATTGATCTCGAATAGCTGCGAAACGTTTGTATGCTCCACTTGTCACCACTGTATCGGATCGATTAGGGTTTCGATGACTGGGATGCGAAAATTGATCGGTTTTGACGGTTTTGATGAATGATTTCTTCGTAAAGTTGACAGATTAAATTCAGGCGCTCGTGAATTAACTCCAGTTCCTCTAAGATTACGTTTCTCTGATGTTAAAAAAAGTGCTAAAAGCACTTAGAGCCGTCGTTAGGTTCATAAAACAGGATATGAGATTACCGTTTTTTGCCTTAGCTCGTCTTGCTATTCGCACAGTCTTAACACCAGACGCATACCATGTAAGACGCACTATCCATCTGTAAGGGTAATGTGTCTTTTATTATGAAAACGGCCATTGACTTATTTACCCTTTCATTCCCAAGATCTTACTAGCAATTCTCCCTACTGTCTGTCATACAATTCTTAGATATTAGTTTTAGAGAATTCTTATATTGGATTTATTAATAATAATAATAATAATGATAATAATAATAATAATAATAATAATAATAATAATAAATGACAACTTATATAGCGCCCTATCCAAAAGCTCTAAGGCGCTTCACAATCAAGGTAAACAGTAGAATAATAATCAAACATAATCATTCATTAAAATGACGCTTAAAAAGATAAGTTTTAAGATTACGCTGAAAAGTGTTAAGATCTATACCACGTACATTTTATGGTTTCAGGAATGTCATTCCACAGCTTAGGTGAAGAGAGAAAAGGCGCGATCGCCATAAGATTTCAACTTGTAGCGAGGAATCACTAACAAGTTCCTACTCGATGATCGCAAGGACTAAGTAGGCTTATAAGTTTCTAACAAGTCACTGATATAACTAGGGCATAAATTATTTAAAGTTTTAAAAGTAAAAAAAAAAGATTTTAAAAATAACCCTCTGCTCCACGGGGAGCCAGTGCAGTTCCCTTAGTAACACGGAGTAACGTGATCATGCTTGCGACCACATAAGATCAGCCGTGCCGCACAATTCCGGGCTAACTGCAATCTATGAACTAAATGTTTCGAAAGACCATATAACAGAGAATTAATAACGTCCTTATTGATTTTCTTTATTCCCATTTCTTGTCTGCTTGATATTGTATTGATATTGTAAGGAGAAATTCTATCTTGATCACGCATGGGAGTTAAAGGGCTACTCGTTTCGATACCACGTTAAACGTATCATGTAGACTGAGAATAAAAATGTGCGAAGAATTAACATTGTTGTACCGTTAATAGATATTACGAAATACCTGCCCTATGGACACGAAGAGAATCGCAAGAGGATTAGTTTTGGTGGCTTTCATCGTCCTAGCGAATTTTTCTTTCCAAGTCACCGGTAAGCGACTTCTTAACTGGCTTATTCATCGTACATGTTTAATACGATTCATATCATAAATGTGTCATGTGACCTTGTTTATCAGAAAACTGCATGGTTTTTAGTGAAAAATAGATGGCAGAAAGGAAGAGAGCCGAATGAACTAAGAGATGATATAGTACTCCTGGGTTTAGTTAAAAACGCTTTTATTCAGACCTGTTTCAAATCCAATCGACAAAGAATGTTTCCTTTATTTGTCCTACAGACTTGACAAAAGTAGCATTTGTTTCACTAGTATGTTGAAGAAAGTTGTCAAAGAATAGTTCAGCTTTTTTTGTTCATAAGGGAAAGCTGTTTTCTTTATCTCATTTTTCAGGCAGGACATGCTTCCTATGTGACTCTCGCAATGAGCCTTGTCCAGAAGATTCAGTCAATGGTACGAGAACGGCAACGTGCTCTGAAGGAAACGAATACTGTGTAGTTGTAAAGGATGGAAGACATGGAGAAACACGATTCTACAGAGACTGTGTCAACAAATGCGACAAGGAATTCGTGAACTGGGAGAAAGATGGCGAGGTATATTGCAAAATGTGCTGCGATAATGACCACTGTAATGTTGGCCGATGTGGGTCCCCTGCGGCATTTACTTTGAGTCGTTCACTGATTGTCCTTAATGCAATCGTTACATTTGGATGCATGTTTGCAGTTGCATAGAGCCAGCTGCAACAGCCAGAAGAATAAACACTTCTATCATTGTATGCTTCTGCTCGTAACAGAAAGACATTAAATGAATTCGGTTAGAAAACACTGATTTAACCAATATTTTGAAAAAAAAAAAAAAATTTCTCTACAAAAAGAAAAAAAGAAAGAGTTATAACACTACTTTATTTTTCTTCCCTTGACTGAGACTGCGCCAGACGCAAATAAGTAGACCGGTTCTATCTCATCTAAACGCAACTGTCAAGAAGAACTTTTAGAGGAAAGAAAAAAATAGGACAACAAAGTTGTAGAACACCAGACAACTTGTTTAAAACGTGCTTTTACCTCTCTGCAAACATGAGCCAGAAACGGTTATATTGGCATGGTAATCCCAAGTTCATTTAATTCAAGATCCGAAAAACCTTGGACTCTGTTGTCGAGATTTTTTGTCTTCCCTTTGGGGCATGTCATGCCGCAACTATTGATTGCACTACCAAACAACATTTATAACATAACCAAAGTAACGCGCGCACTCTGATTGGTCAACTTAGCGTCGCCCATTTTCCCATGGATGTACGCTGCTGACGTGACAAATGCAAAGACTATTTTTTCGCGCGCGCTTGTTTTGTTCTGGTCACGTAAGATTTGTTAAATAAAAGGGAACTCTTTAGCTACAATGTGTTAATGTTATGTTATAAAACAAATGGTAAACACCACAGCGTATACTATTGAGTTATGGATGCACTTGGGAGGTTTGCTAAGCACTCAAGAAGCTAGAGTCGCTCTCGGCTATCGCCTCGAGCGACTCTTACGCTTCTTTCGTGCTTAGCAACCTCCCGCGTGCATCCATAACTCAACAGTGTACGCTGTGGTGTTTACCATTTGTTAATTGGGTGCTCTATAGTTGGACACTCTCGGTACGTTTGTAAACAGAATGCAGATTTAACCTCAATAAAGTCAGAGTTGTTGCTTGCAATAAAAAATTGCTTTGCTAATATCAGACAAATTAAATTTAACGACACAAAAATGTCTATTGCTGAAAGTGCTGTTCAGATCCTTTAGCTTTTTATTTTGTCGAGTTCCTTTTAGATAACGTTTTATCTTGTTTCATCCACAACCGGCATGTTTATGTTATGGGTCTTGCCGTAAGGCATCGCCATCGTATTGAGATTACCAACCTACAAGTCGATCTACTTTCTTTCTCTCATCTTTAGTTGCTTCCTCGTAATAAGTATTTTGCCGTTGGTCCGTATCATAAAGTTCTGTTTATTTCGTAACCTTCAGCCGATTACACTCGGGAATGCAAGGTTCAATAGTGAGTGTGTGGTAATGGAACAGGCGAGCAATGTGTCTGTCAAAGAGAAATCTATGGTCTTTTGACAAGTACACCAACTGTTTAAAAAAACATGATCCCTTCCGTAGAAAGAAGCAAGGCTGAGTAAAATTTCAGGGTTGCAGCCCTCCTTTTTTAGCGTTCGACCTACATCAAGCAATTTTTCACACACACATACACACACACGCACGCACGCACACACACACACGCACACACACACACACACACACAGACACAAAAGCTTGTGTTTATTTTAAGTACTTTTGGTCACTTGAGGACAATTAGCTAGGACCGGCTTTCCGAAGCATCTTATTGGTAACTTCGTGTACAAATGTACAAGCCAGGTAAACAACGAACCGAAAGGCTAGATAAGCCTCATAAACACATGTGCCATGTAAGTATATAAAATATGAAAGTTCTCACCCCTAAATTGCACTTTTGGGAGACAAGAAAAGAGAAAAAGTCAGGAAAACCTGTGCCCTCGTTAAGTTTTTCAAAGCATATTTATTTCGCAATTCTAAGAGACCAGATGAAGTGGCGGATTTGAAGCTTCTAATAGTTAAAATTGTATTGCTTTCATCTCTTTCATCCCACTCGTTCCCTTCTGACCGTGTGTTTTCCAGCATTTCTTACCATCTCTGTTTGCACCAGCTATCCATTCTGGATAGGTAGATAGTTCTTCTTCGACTTCATCGTAAAAGGTCTGATTTGCACGAGATCGTTCTGAACAACAAAGGCCTCTCAGCTAATGCGAAATATTGGCTCTCCCGGGAGGGGAAATGAAATGATCGTGGTGGTTGATTTTTAGTTATTATTAGCCCTCACACCGAAACAAGGCCCACAATAATGTGTTAAAAAATTCTCGGAACCAAAAATTTCGGTCGCGGACATCTCAAAGCGTCGTCTTTGCAAAGCTTTTTTTTGAAGTGTGTTTCGGATGAACGCGCCTTTTCAACCAGTTATGCGCATGCTAATATAATGTGCACTCGTTCTGAACAGCCACTATCAGACATAAACAGCTGGGAAGCCTCTTCGGCCTGCGAATGATTTTAAAAAAGCCTTTTACTGCTGTTTCCCTCGGCCTTGGCGACACTAATTCTCATTTTCTAAGGCTAAGAACCTGTGACAAACTTGAGGCTAGGGTTACTCAAAAATATAACTTATAATTTGAAACTAGTCTTAGCCTACCGGATTGATCTGAAGGAATCATCAATTGCGTTGGATCGAATAATAGGTGAGTAATGTTGTTAAATACGGCATATTCTTGGTATTTTATTTCTGTCTGGATTCGGCATCCAGTAGTTTCCAATGGAAGACAAGAGAAGTCTTTGATATTGGATGACCAGAGCCTTTTTCTGAACAAACTAGTTAAGCATATTGATCTAACAACTTCATTTTAATTACTATATGATAAATCGTACTTTGAGAAAACACTCGGCTACGCGCGTCAGGGCGAAAATATGCAAACAATAACGTGTCTGAAAAGTCCTTTCTCGTGTTGCTTCAACCTGTAATTCGACATTTTATAAACAGGTTCCTTAATTCTCTCTTGTTATTGTTTGCCTGCGCCGATTAAGCTCACATGATTCTTGTTGTCGACTTTCATCATGATAATTCTCGTCAATAACTCTTTCCTTCGTTTATAATTCATTTTGCTGCTTTCCTCGGCTATGCAATATTTATTAGTCTAATATCGATCACTACTGTGTAATACGTGATTAAATTTACTTGATATTGTAAATGTCTCATTCGTGTACGTATTTGTCATTAGGTGTTTTTCTGAAGTTACAAGCTCTAAAGGTTTTTGAAATGATAACGAATACTCGTCAGTATTTGAAACTAACAGAAAGCGAATGATGTTGAACAGTTCTTGTCAGCTTGAGAGAAAGAACTAAACATCTGAGTCTCCAATGAAGATTTGAGCCTTGAGCCTCGGTCTTGATTTGGGAGTTGTGTCATCTGAGTCACAGCGAACATTTTAATGTACTAAGTTCGTGCTTAAAGGGCTTTCTGCTCGCTGTAACCATCGGTAAAGGCGAAATTTGAACCTCTTGAGAATGGAAAAGATAGTTGAAAAAGACGTTGAACTCGTTATGTAGTTATCGAGTTATTTACAACATTTGTATTGCGCATGAGATTAAGATTTTTCCTGAAATGTTAGTTTACGATTTCGATCTGTTTGCCAAATTCGCTTCCTTGATAATTCATAGAAGAAGAATCTCATGTTAATTTGAATTAAACCTGTATATCTTTTTATGATGTAAATTTGGGTAGGTCTGATCTCATTCATATCTTCGTTAACTCATGTTGAATTGTTCCACTTATCAATCGAAAGAAATCAAGTCATAGAAACAGAAAGATTTTAAAATAAAAGGTTTTCATATGGGTGTTGCTTCAATTGAAGAAGAGTATTTGTTACGTAGGCTTTTAAGGACAACAGATAAATTACGAGTGAGACACCTAGATCTTGCTAAATACTGGACGACAAAGGAAACAAAAGAAACTTACCGGCCACAAACGCTTTCAGAAAGAAAATTATCGTGTTAAAACATTCGAAGAGGAACAACGGGATGAGTTTTCTGTCGCGTCGTTTTATATCAATATTTCACGATATCAATATATCACGACATCACCTGCACAGGTAATTAAGATGACTTCGAGTCGAACAGTTGGCCATCGCTGTCGATCTTTAGTGAAAGATTACTCCATTGTCCATACGAGATACGTTGAATGCAAATTTTACTTTGAAATCTTGGACCACAAACGGAAAATGAACAATGCCTTTAAACTCAAAGAAACCCGTGGAACTTTTAACCACCTCAAAAATTGTGATTGATATCATGCAAAGTTTGTATGGCTGATTGCAGGTGCTTGAAACAAATTTTACATGGTTGATTGCAAATGCTTGCTTTATATTAACTAGCTTTATTTCCTGTGCTTTCGCTTTTGTTTTTCGTTACACCCTCAGGTCTCTATGCTTATTCTAGTTAAGTGGAGTTCAGTCACAGAGAATTTAGTTCCACGCCTAAGCATACCTTCTTAGCATTCGTAATATGCATGAGCCGGATTTTTACTGTATGAGAAAGGCCGAATCCTAAGTAAGCTTTATTTTTTACAAATTAAGCACACTCAGAAGCAGCAATTTTAACGCGAGATAAACGAAAATAGGAAAAAGAACAACGAATCCCTTCCTAATCTTAATGTTATTCAGGAGGGTAGTAATAAGTTTAACAAATCAGAGCGGCTACTGACACGTTCTTGGCTTATGAAAATGAAGTCGCCTTAAACATCCCCTAGTTCACTTTCCAATTTCTTCGTTGTAAACATTGATCCAAATCCCTCGATGTATATAACGATGTATATGACCTTCTTCCAGACATGTAGCTTAGATGCAAGAATGTGGCGGAGGAAATTTAAAGACATGCATCTACTTTGCTGATTGTAGAGAGAGATTCCTTTTTTGAGATGTTTATACCTCGAGGATCGAAAGTGAAGTAAATTGGTCACAAAGGAAACTGTTCACTTTTAAAAATGCATCGGTGTTCACGTTTCCGTTTTTAAACTTGAGAATTACATCACTATTTTAGAAACCTCAGACGGTTTTGTTTCTGAATGGAATCAGTCTTAACTTGTTTTATTGTGGATACATTGTCTGAGTTATCGGGCTTCAATTAAGGGACCAACTGGAAAAAAAGGCTTTTTATTCAAATTCTATGCGGTAAGAATGTAATATTTATTTCTTAGCTATGAAAAAGAATATTGTGCCATCGATACATGTCTTTAATGTTAGGAAATGCCTTCGAGAAGTAACTTGATTATATTGGATAAGGTTATTTGTCTTGTAGTTTAAAACCTGCACTGAGATTTTTGTCAAACTTTACTCATTGGTCGTTTTTCTTTACGGGAAGGTACTTTTGAAACAATAAAAGGGGAGTTCCCCTGGCCCGTTGAGGAGAAACGGTACCTAAAAGGTACCCATATAGTGCCTATGATATGATAATTTAGTATCCTTGCGAGTACTTGGTAAATTCGTGTTTCCGAAAGTTGTTCCTTTCCATACTTTAGGAAACGGCTCATATTTATCTGAAAGAAAGAAAGTCATCGGTCAATTCCAAGAAAGTGAAAAAGATAAATGTCACTGTGCTCTTTTGCAAAAAAAATGGCGATTTACTTCTGAGCTCAGACCTTAAAGAAAAAGCCGCCATCTTTAGTCTTGGATAAGCGAAGTGTCGAACGACTATTACCTAATGTGCGCACCCGTAACTTGTGAAATTATGTTCTGTGAGGATGTGCAATCCACTACTACGGAATGACCCAAATAGATAAACATGATAGTAGCTGTAGGTGCAGTGATATGCGGACATAAGATAGGTAGTTGTCAAGTGATTGCCTCAGAAGTCGAGATGGCTTATAATTCAGTAAACATAATTGTTTATCCAGTGACTAGGCACTGAAATGGAGCTGTTATAGTGCAAAATCATACGGTTTTCATGATTTTCCTGATACTCACATCTATATTTTTTACTGGGAGCACTTGTAACACGTTATCTGTACAAAGAAATCTTTAGTTAAGGTCTCTAATATCTTTTCTTTACCTTTTGGAAACAAGGGGGATGGAGTAGGTGTGGAGTTATGAGCTCAAACCCTCTCCACCCTGGACGAAATCTTCTTTGTTAACTATGCCTCAAAATTAATGGGCAAAGAGCCAGGTAGAGTTTACTCTTCGGGGCACATTAGATTTTCCAATGAATCAATAACCCATCCAACATTTCTATGGTGTGAAAGTGGATAACCGAATCTTGTCCGTTTTGTTCGAAATGTTCTAGTTTGTGGTAAGACTCGGATTGTTTTGATTCTCAGTTGAAGAACTGAGCCTCTGCATGTTCTCAAATAAGCTGCGTCACTAGATATTTCTACCTATTCAACTTATTTCCTGCGACATACCGACAAAGTACAAAGTGAAGGAAACTAACGCAGACTTAAAGCTTAGAAAGATAAAAATACACCATGAAGAGGCAGCAATAAGAGATGACTGAGGGAAGCGGTTGAAGGGACCTTCAGCAACAGCGACATCGGCAGAATTGACCTTTCCAAAAAAATTTTGAGATAGTTGTATTCTTCTCAATTTTTAGAACGGGAGGCTAAAAGGGCGAGTTTTTCACAATTCGTATCCGAGGGAAGAGAAAGATTGACGTAGATGAAAGTGATGAACCCATGAAATCTTTCGATATTTCTTAGAGAAATAAACTATGCACACGATTTGATCAAAGTTCTTCTTCTTCTTTCCATTGACTCATGAAACTCCTTCGTGAGAGATTTTAGATCACCTTCTCTCTCAGAGAGGGTAAACTGACTTCTAAGATCTTAATTACAGAGTATCGTGCTGTAACTTTTTGCAACAGGTTCACCTCGTAATAAAACATCTCCCCTGATTCTTGAAAGTTATGCCTGCTTCAAATCACGATCGGAATAAACAGTCAGTTTCCTTTGCAAACCTCGCCAGCTCACCTCACTGCAATTTGACTGCTTTAACCTTACCTCTCCGCCCGCCTCGTCTAGCTTTTGCTATTTGCGGGTGGGGATGGCAAACTGATGTGCGTGGAATAAATTTTTGCAACCGCAGTAATCTTGTGGGCTTGGACGAAGTCTGAACTTTCTCTGCAGCTTATTTCGTTCTCGAACGAAACCGGGTTTCCATGTAGAGTCATCGAAGTGCGATTTCAATTCAAACTCATTAAAAAAATGAAAAACAATCAAGATATCTACAAAACATTGTTTTGACCTATTTGCATCCTGACTGACGCAAATTTGCATCACTCAATGACGTTAAATGGACCGCCTTATTTGTACCGAATTATGCATGAGATAGACATTCCACGCAGCATTAACTATATTGGAAGAGCCGAACTGGTTTGTGACTGCAGCCTGCAGTTGTTCTGTTGTTGGTAACAGAAGAAAAATAGTGACTGAAGGTAGGGCTGCATGATAGTGACATGTTTGAGGCTGCCGGGTAGTAAGTCTAACAGAAAGCGAAAGTAAAACCACCTGATTCATCTGACTTATGCAATATTAATAAAGAAAATATGTGGTTGGTTGGCTTATTAACAGCAGTGGTCTGTTGCGGAATACATCAGACCAGTTTTATTAACGACTAAATCAGAAATAAAGCATAACTTTTTATTTTTACATTTATTTGCAGCATCTTGATGCAAGATGTCTCTCTCCAAAACCGCTTATTTGCCATCCTTGAAAATGTTTATTATTTGGATGACGCTTCTTGGATGTTTGGCTGTGAAAGGTAAAATGTCTCATGACATTCAGTGAAGAGAAGCACTTAGGCCCCTGTCTTTCACTATTCGTTACTTTCAATATTTGCAAAGAAAATGGATTTGGTTTGCAAATTTACGAGCTACGTAAACACAACCGTACAGGCTATGTCTGCTTCATAAACAGGTGTTCCAAGGAAATATCCAATTTATTAATGTTCTCACCGCTAAATTTCACAATTGCGGGGCACCGAGAAAGTCTGAATTCAGATGAAATTGAAGGAGTTTTTTCAGTCGAATTTTCTCGGTGTCTATGACGAACTTGGTAAGTCCGTCAGTATCTGCAGATCTAGACAAGTGGAACATAACAAAGCCGTAGTTAGGAGCCGCGGACAGCAGACCTCATGTGCGATAGGAAAAAAGGGATAAAAAAGGAACAATTTGAGGTTTACCAGCTTACCACCAATAGCATATTTGAAAGAAATACTGAACCCCTAGCCTTGAAACGTTAATAAACGCCTTCCTTTGTTTATGAGTTTTTGCGTTCTACAACGTAGAAACGAGATAAGAAATGTTTTAAATAGAATTAGTACCTTAAGTTTTGAAAAAAACTTGCGTGCAGAGATTTATTGTATTCAAAGGCGATTTGCATGTTCTTACAGTTCTCGCAAACTGTGCCGCTCATACAAGTTCGACGTCAATTAAAAAAAAAAACACTCATAGCTTTGTTTGCGAAGACAATAGGGGGAACACGTCCTACGCGTACGTTCAGCCAAAAGTTTTAATTTTTTTTTTTTTTAATTTTTTATTGTTACAAGATTACGAAGCCAGTCAGGTCTAAGATACAAGAACGTTTTAGAATTTTATTTGCGGTTTTGGGGTTCGCCAGCGATACCTTGCGATTGTTAATCGTGCCTACAATAACAATTCCTCCATTCTTGTTCGGTCTTCCAAAAAATAATGACCGGCAGCCGGATTTTGTGATCGGGCAAGTTCCGTTTTGCAGCCAAGGCTTTTGAAAGTGGAAGTAAGCACTGGAGTGCCACTTCCATGGTTGAATCGTCAACCAATATCTGATGTAATATGAATGATTTTTAGCCTTTGATATGAGACCTGTCGTTTTTAATTTATTTTTTGACTGTTTACCAAATAAACATTACTCGCAGCTTGCATAAGCACAAATTGAACAAAACAACGTTTTAAACGACTTTAGTCTTGCATTTTTATTAGTTTGTTAGGATCCCTCTTGGAATAACAATGTCATATTCGAGCTAGAAATCTCGCCCTTTGAGTTTTCGCAGTTTTACATGAAAGAATATCAACTTAAGGATACTTTGAGACAAATGAAACGAAAATTCGTGCCTTTGAAAGAATGCTTTGGAATTTTGTTTTACTAACCACTCACAAATGCCCTTAGGCTACAAGTTTATTATCAATACTTTGGTATTTGTTATCTTGTGGCCTCTTCGACAATGCTCTGTAATATTTCCTACTATTCACAAAGTACTTGTTATCCTCCAAGTTGCTTTATTTTCCAATTCTGATTCAATGCAAATGGAAGGAGGAACTTTTTTCCTGAGGAGCTTGGAAAGGATCGTGAACTGGAATGATTATCGATGAAAAAAATAAAAGCAATTACAATGACAATGAACCAAAGAGAGGACTTTAGACCCGCAAACAGCTCTTTTGTCAGACGAAGGTTATTCAACCTAAAAACATTTCAAGTTTCAATTACATCTTTCGTAGTATAGAGGTAAATGATAACATTTTCCTGGCTCAAGTTCCAGAAATTGCACAGTTATTCGAACCAATTCTTTATTCTGCAAGTTGGTCTTTTCTTACGCCTACGCAATTTCGCCACTCAGAAGCAGCTCGAAATAGTAATTAATTAAACTGTCGAAACGTGTCTGTTTTTTAATTATGTTCAGACGGTTTTCTTTTTCTCCCATCGGCTTTTCCCACCGCAACTTCTTTGTTTTCTGGGTTCATGTGACAAGGTAAGCCTCTCAATGTTTTAAGCTCCGTCATGACTGCTCCATTTAATGGAAAACTCAACTTTTCCTATTGAACTACTAGGCTGATCAGGCTACTTAAGAAAACAATTTGTCCCAGCAAACTAACCTTTATCATGCTAATTAAAAAAAGCGGCTTTGCTTTTATTGTTTTCTTTTATTGTTTGAGGGAATTCATTTTCACGCTCTTCCAAGTTGAGAATGACAATAACATTTTAGAATGAACTCTAGAATTTTCCAAAAAAAAAAAAAGATAACTCAACTGAACTTCAATTTGCAATGAATGTTTTCAGCTCTATGCAAATGAACAAAAATCGCTTTTAATTGTTATTGTCTTAAGTTACGTATGTTCCTTGCACTTTCTTAACCTTTCAACGTTTTAGCAAAATGGCTCTGATGTACATATATGTAGAAAAAAGTTTTTAAAGAGTTCCTTGATATCTTTGTTACTTATTTTGTCAATGTGACCGCTGGTCATCCATTGACCTCAAAGCGGCTATCAGATGCTGAGTCATAATGATTGAGTCAAGTTGTTTTCAGTGGTTACCGCTGATCAGTAATCGATTACCGACCACAGATTATATAACTTATGGATAGATTATGTAATCTAAGGTCAGTCAAACATTTCTGATTGATACTGCTAATAGATGGCTAATCGCCCGTTTCTGACGGCAACTAGAACGTCGGAAACTTCTGAAAGGTCAAGAGCTCTCCCGAACCTTAAACAAAATTCGCGAAAACGGGTTTTCGAGAAGGTGAGAGAACAGATCTCCCACATGGTCCCGGACAAAGTTCAACATGTTTAACATTTCATTTGTGTTGAGAGCTTCTCAGTGTACAACAAAGCTTCTATTCCGGTTTATTTGCTCCTAAAAAAACATACCCGTACTATTTGCTCATGTAAGCACACCCGAGCTAGTTCAACATTTTCGATTGATACTGCTAATAAATGGCTAGTCGTGCATTTCTAGCGACATTTAGAACGTTCGAATGTCTAAGAGGTCAAGAGCTCTTACGAACCTCAATCAAAATTCACGAATGTGAACGTACAGATCTCCCTTATGGTCTCGGACAAAGTTCAATATGTTTAATATTTTATTGTGATCTGAGTTTCTCAGCGTAAAACAAAGCCTCTTTTCCGGTTTACTTGCTCATAAAAACATACCCCTAAGAGAGAAGGCCCTTTGACACGCTAATCCTCTCCTGCTTCCTTTGCTAGAACTTGAAATGCTTCACAAAAGACACGAGTATCATCGCACGTCACGGCTCGTGCATCTTTAAAACGTTTGCCAATGTTTCCAAATTTATAATTAGTAATTCAGGTAAACTTTCTCGATCTCAAGTTGTTCTTATTCAATTTTGGTCTTTCTATACAAGTTTGGTACCTATGACCTTACCAAGGAAGGAAAAAATTAGTTCAACATTTTCGATTGATACTGCTAATAAATGTCTAGTCGTGCATTTCTAGCGACATTTAGAACGTTCGAATGTCTAAGAGGTCAAGAGCCCTCACGAACCTCAATCAAAATTCACGAATGTGAACGTACAGATCTCCCTTATGGTCTCGGACAAAGTTCAATATGTTTGATATTTTATTGTGATCTGAGTTTCTCAGCGTAAAACAAAGCCTCTTTTCCGGTTTACTTGCTCATAAAGACATACCCCTAGGAGAGAAGGCCCTTTGACACGCTAATCCTCTCCTGCTTCCTTTGCTAGAACTTGAAATGCTTCACAAAAGACACGAGTATCGTCGTACGTCACGGCTCGTACATCTTTAAAACGTTTGCCAATGTTTCCAAATTTATCATTAGCAATTTAGGTAAACTTTCTCGATCTCAAGTTGTTCTTATTCAATTTTGGTCTTTCTATACCAGTTTGGTACCTATGACTTTACCAAGGAAGGAAAAAATTAGAATAATGTGCTTCAGGCAGAAGCAATATTTTTCTTCACAGTTCCTGCATCTTGAAAATTTTACCAACAGTTAGTTGTCATTTGCAATTCGTATAAGTTTTGTTATCATAAGTTGTTCTTGTTTCATATTGGTTTTGGCCTACCACTAGGTAGGCACAAGGTGGCTGCCTTTGACGAGGGAAAAGGCAAGGGAAAAGAGAAAAACAATTTATTTCAAGGCCGGATCTTCATCGTTCGCTCCAGTTCTTGCATCTTGAACATTTTGCCCAAATTTCTAAATGTATGATTTGCAATCCGCGAGATATTCTTCACCCTACATGTAAGTTTTCCTTATTCAGTTCCTTTGCGGGACTGCTTTACCTTCAACCCCTTAAGTGTTTTGTGTGAGTCTTATCCTGACCAAACTTCTTTTTATTATTGGCTGAATCGTTCGAACGCATCGTCTCAGAGGAAAAATTTTGTAACCATTATACAACTCCTATTCATTTTGTAATCATGCTTTGCCAATGGAAATGTGGAGCATTCCTGAATAAGCATATAAATAAAACACCTACAAAATCTCTAAGGAAACCATTTATCAGTTGCAAAAAAGCCTCTCGGCTTTTTTCAGAGCTAAACCTTTATGAGATACTCGCTAAATATGGGAGTCACAATATGTCTCATAGATACGAGACACAAATTTGTTAAGTCTGAAGTGATAAATTGATTATAAAGCATTTCAGCTGAAGAGCTGTGATACATATTTTCAATTGCGTTCACTCGGTTTTCAACTTAATGTTATCTTGTAACAAAAGAATGAACGTTTTACCTTATTTAGGTTCTGAGCTCGAGGCTGCTGGTAGCGGTGCTTCTCCGCTCATCTTCTATGCTAACCGAGACAGTATCAGGTACATAAGCACAAGAAACGTTTCAGTGCAAGGAGTTCTGATATCGGGTCTAAATGAAGTCAGATCTTTGGCCTTATATGTAAGGCCTGGTTGGATTTTCTGGAGTGAATATGGCAGTACCACAACTATTAACAGAATGCGTCTCTCTGCCGGTGCCACCAAACAAAAAATATTAGATGGTTTGGGCGAGGTGCATGACATTGCAGTGGAATGGGAGTCTGCTCTAATCTACTGGACAGACTATTTGCACGAAACAATTGAAGTTGCTCGCATTGATGGGTCTTACAGAAAGACGCTCTTTTGGGAAAATGTGGCAAATCCTCGGGCAATCGTGGTGGATTCTCGGAATGGGTAAGTTCAGTTAATGGTTATTTAGCGAGCGTAGTTACAAGTAGCAATAGATTTTAAAATATCGGAATTTCAGTGAGTATTTTAGAGTTTCTACGTAGTATATGTTTACTGAACAGAACTGATTGTTATCTGTAAAATCACATTTGCCAAACAAATCTAGCTTTCATAGAGCTAGCAGATACTTTAAATTTATAACAGAAAAGACCATTTGGTCTTGATAGGAGTAGATGTGTAACGAATTTGAGAAAATAAATGATATTTCTGAAAGACACCAGGTAACTACCGACAGTAACTACCGTCATTTTCAGTTCAAGAATATTTACAAAGTTCGAAGTTGAATTTAAATTGTATACTACATAATACTCATGGAACAAACAACAATAGAGACAAAAAATTATGTACGCAATGGCCCATTTCCGAATTACCCTTGGCCTCATTTTCAAAACGAGTCCTGGTGCTCATCCTTTCATATGATAATACGTTTCATTCACATGCAAATTAAACTCATTTTCACAAGAATGGTTGAGCACCCTCGTTTTGAAGAAGAGGCCAAGGGTAATTTGCAAATTGGCAATTGCAAAGAAAGGTGTAGATTGACATGATACAGTTGATGATTGAGGGTAGGTCGCTCCTATATTCAATGAATACGTATATTCCGAGGTCGAATAGCCAATCAGGGCGCGCCTTCAACGCCATCCACTGTTTTGGTATATATGTTGTAGTTCAATTTTATCCTTGGTTCAAATTTTATTTTCCTTTGTTTCAAACTCATCATAATACATTAACATGACCGAGAACAAAGGAAAATAAAATTTGAACCAAGTATAAAATTGAACTACAACATATACAACGCTGTGGTTTTTTTTTTTCAGTTACATGTACTGGTCTGAAACTGGATGGGACTATCCCAGGATCGAACGAGCTACCCTTGCTGGAACGGAGAGAACAATCATAATGGAAGAGCATCCAGGAATTATTCCAAAACTTTTAATCAATGGTTTGGTCATAGACTTCTCTTCTAATCTGTTGTATTGGGTGGATGCACAAACTGATATCGTAGAGCGAATGAAGTTGGATCAAACAAATAACGCGGAAACGGTACATACGACCACAAGTCAAAATTTGTACTCCTATGGTCTGACATTGTACGAGGATATTCTGTACGCAAGCGAGCTACGAAGCCGTAGTATCGAGAGGATAAATGTCACTGCAGGAGAACATTTAAGGAACATGGGGTGGTTGACCGAAAAGATGACCTATCGTATCGCTCTGAATAGTTCATCTAGGGAGCCGTCAGGTATGTTGAAAGCACTTATTGAGGTAATTTTTTAGTTATTTTTCGCCACGCAAGAAGATGTAAATATTTTTGAATAATAAACCGTGGTGATCGTGAAAAGAAAATTTACAATCCTCATCTTTCCCGACGAAAATATTGTCTTTGCAAAACTCCTTAGTTTTCTTTCAGAAAAACAACATGTTCTATCATCATAGATGTTTCTTTTTCCAAAACATCAGCTATTTCAGTGACAAAGGGAGTCATGGTCCATCATCCTAATTACACTGCCTGGGTTATTAAAGGAACTTGAACACACCCTCTAAGTAAATCAAGAAAGTCAACAGACCACTCTAGGTCCTTGGTTTCCTGTAACTTAAGGCAACTCAGGCAAACACTCCGTCAAAATAAAAAGGCGAAAACGCACCTTGAATTCAGTGGAAGTAGAACCCACGTATTGCAGCTTGAATTCAGTGGAAGTAGAACCCACGTATTGTGGGTTTTCGTAATCACAAGTCATCTATGCGAACAAACAAAAAAAACGTGCGAGCTTGCAGTCCACTTCTATTGTACCAAACACGAAATTTCTGAAATTAATTTTATTGTTATTGAGAAAATTACCAGCCAAGGGGACGCAGCTTATATTGATAGATTATTACTTACGAGAGAGGCCTACTGGACCGCACAACTTTGTACACTTAGTCCCCACGGACTTAACAAAAGACGCGAATTCAGATCCAAAAATCGCGTCCGCTATAATACGTAATTAGGGCATCATTTACACAATGTAATTGAGTTCTTCGCAACCAATCGTGGTTATTTCGCCCCTTGCACATTCTTGCCTTTTACTCATTATTATATCCTATTATTTAGGTCTGGAATGCATTACGCAATACTATTTATATTTCTTACGTTTAGTATAAATTCAGGTCATTCTGTAAACCTACTAGGACTTTTAGTTTTTAGTTTTTATGTAAATACGTTCCACCTGAAGAAGGCCGAAGGCCGAAACGTCGCCACATTAAAGCTGGAACAGTTAGAAGTTTGCTTCATGTTTCATCGTTTTACACTTACTTTATATATAT